AATATCATTATATTTTATCATTTATTTTTTCATATCATCTTCTTTCATCTTTATGTACCATTAGTTTGACGATATTACCATATATCATAAAAAAATTGTTGACTAAAATTAATCAATTAAAATACTTTTTAATAATGAAAGTTACCATGGCTTTTTATAAATAGTACTATAATCGATAATATGATTTTTGTCATATTGTCGATATATCAAGATAAACTAAAATAAATGTAAATAGAAATATGCAATAAATTTTTCTCACATTTAAAGTGAGATTATAATAACAATATCATGTAATCACATTTATTATACAATATATATAAGATTTAATTCATAATTTTAATTTATTTTATAACTGTTATTTCGTATCATTAATCAATCTTTTTCTTCATATACATTGTGATAACAAGTAAATATCTAAAGATATATTAAACTTTAAGGGTTATTGAAGGGGGTCTTCCATAATTCCAGGCATATTTATCAAAGAATACCAACGAGATAGTTCTTTTTAGTAACCAGGGTCGTCTTTGCATATGCGTAAGTAAATATTAGCGGAGGATGATGAGGGTCTCTGACCATTTTCTCTTTCTTTCTTCTGTCTCTTTTCACGGTGATCATTCTCACGTTGACCACCCTCGTTCATCCATTTCAGCTTCTGTCGCGACGTCATTCTGGGACCCTGTCTTTAACTGCGCTTTGGTCACTCCCTCAGACCCTATCAAAAACCTCTCTCTGATATTACCTTCATTCAAACAGATATCCAAGACTAAATCCCTCCTTATCCAAGGGGTAAAAGTCTTCGGCACGCTCGGCAATTCGGCTTCAATTCGTTTTCCAACCGAATCGTTTGGACTATATCTTTGCATTTGTACTTCATACGAATAATATGATGAAACTACATTCTTATTTGCAATACAGTAGTTTATAGTTTGTTATTAAATAAATTTCTTTTTTAAGAAAATATATAATTTATAAAAAAAGATATAAATATATAATTTATATCTTTTTTTTTTCTTTTACGAAAATATCGTAAAAAGATATGTTTTTGTCATAAATAAGAAAAAATTTGATCCTAAAAGTTTAATCCTGAAGAAAAGTATTTTGTAAAATATTTTCATTTCAAATTTTGTTTGCGAGAAAAATTTTAAATTTTAAATTTTAAAAAATTGTAGAATAAAAAAATCTATTCAATTTTCACATTTAATGATTAAATATATTTAATCATTATATTATTTTAATACTTTATTTAATTTTTAAATTAAATTATGTACATTAAAATAGTTTATTAATAATTCATCTTATTTTTTTTATTTTATTATTTATTTATTTTAATTTTATTATTTTTATTATTTTTTGTCTAATAATTTAATAGAATCCATAATATCCAGGATTTTATTGCCATTTTAGTGGGATTATAAAGATATATTTTATGATGAAACTTTATTTACTACATGATTCATTTAAATGAATCAATTAAAAATATCATTTATCAGAATTCATCATATATTTAAAAGAAGCATCAGTAAAATCACTAACAATGCATATATATATTTTTGATATCACAAAAAGTTGTTTCAGTTTAATTGACATGTTTTGTCCTATTTACTATATTCACCAGACTTTGCTTATTTTGATTTTTGTTTATTTATTACCATTACAAAATCGAATGAAAAATCCAAAAACACCCAAATAAATAAATAAATTTTATTATTATTATATATTTTATTATTTTATTTTATTATATTTGCCTATTTTTAAACTTTACAATTAATTACAGTTAATTATAATTAATGATGATTTTTCAATTTTTTAGTTCCAATGATTTCCAAAATCAGATTTTAAAAATTCATTTTGTAAAATTTCATTTTTTATATTTTTTATATTTACTTAATATTCTTGTAAAAAAATACAATCACACAATCCAATATCATTGTGATGCGTTAATTCGAAAAAAAATAGATTATACTTACGCATATTGAAAAAAATTATGGAATTATTTCAATTAAAAATTGTATTGACCCAGTTTAAAAGACAAGTCGCCAGGAACGCGTGTACCAAAGGGGGCGAATCAACTGATCCCTGTGTTGTTCGTGACGCTATGTTGCCTCGCTCGTGCTCCTGTGGTGTTAATTTTGGACTGTGCTCGATCACATATCCTCGTCAAAGGAGAAGATTGGGATCAACGATAGAGCTTTGCATGCCGACCTACTGCCGCTGCACAGTTTGCAGCGTGTCGTGTATCTCCGAAACCTGTTCGTTAATCGACGTGATCACGCCGTGCCGCGATGTAAACTCGTACAATTAGTTGAACTCCCTCGAGATAAGGCGCAACTGGCGAATTCATGCGAATCGTGGCTCCCTCTTTGATTTTTCTAATCAGATCTCGAACGATTTCGAACGGTCTGGAAGACTTTTACAATGATTTTATTATCGTCTGATGATCACGCAGAGATTGCACTGATGTAACCAGAATGACTAAATTAGAATTTTAATTTTTGAATATATACCAAAATGAGATGATTAATATTTCTTTTTATCAATTATTTTTTATAAGAATTTCTTATAAAAATTTCTTATAAGAATGTTTTCGTTGAATTTAATAATAAAAATTGATAGTTTTACTTTTTAAATGTTATTAATTTTTATGTCGATCTCGTTGGTTATAAGCAGAAATGATGTGTTTTTATAAAAAGCAAGAGTAAGAATAGTTTTACATAGTTTTTGATATGAATAATATTATAATATATAATATATCATAATCATAATATATTATATAAAATATAATATATCATATAAAAAGATGAAAAAGAAATTAATAGAAACAATAGAATTTTAATATTATACAATAGAATTTTGGTAATTTTTAATTTTTTGCAAAAATTATTTTTATTATTTTCTTTTATAATCATTCTTGTGTATATAGAATAATAATGAGACATATAGTGGTGAAAATATATTTGAAACAGTTATAGAATGACACTAACGAAATATAAAATATTGGAAATTGTTCTTGAAAAACTTCATTTTGATATAATTAATTAATTAATCTTTAATTAATTAATTTTTATAGTTAATTCTTTATTTGAATTTAATTCCAAT